CATTTAGCAAAGTATAGCTTTACGCTSCAGAGTTATCACTCCAATTTCAACTGGGACCATAAAGTTTTATGGGCTATTAAATTGTCCTAAACCTCCTTTAACGCACCAGCTCTAACGCTGGAGATTAACCATTTAGGAAGAGGAGGTTACCTTCACCGAGATCAGGCTGTTTCCCCTTAACCGTGTGCAGTCAATATTGCTTTTACGCGGTGGGGATGCGATGCCTTCCCAGTTATTCCTGGAATCGGTGGTCTGTGGAGCTGGGGATCTATGAGGATGCCTGGGATTTCTTCTTTTTTCCTTCTCCTTCTCATTTTGGGTGACAAATTGGCCTTTTGGTTTGGACCACTTGTCCCTTGCAAACTCCTCCCCACCACRTCCCCAGAGCAGAGGGACCAGCCCCAGCATTGGGCTCTGCTTGGAGCAATTATCCCAAGGGGCTGCTTCCCTGGGAAGCAGAGGGGATCCCTTACCCCATTTCGGGCTGCGAGGGCTCTACTGCAGCCCAGGGTGTCTCAGATCCCTCCAGGCTGCTAGATGCCTCCTCCCAAATCCCTCATTCCCATTTCCCCTCCGATAATCTCCCTTGGGCTTGAGCATGGAGCTCGGGTGGCTCATGGACACCTTCTCCTTGTCCTTTTTTTGCTTAAGGAGATGCATCCCGATGCCCAGGACACCAGCAGAAGCCACATCCAGAAGGACCGCAGCAGGTCTGCGGCTTCAGGAAGGCTCCGGGGAAACCTATCTGTGCCCGTGCAGCCATCTCCCCTATCTATATCATGCAGAAACACGCTTTAAAAATGCCAGCGTGGAGGTGCAGGGGGCAGCCCGGCCGCGGCTGACTCGGAGCCCGTGCAGCCGTATCTGCCGGCGCAGCTCCGAGCGATGGAGCAACTTCGGGGACTGAGCCAGAGAGATTTCCCAACACCTCTGCCCTGCTCCAGATAGCGAACACGGGGCTTGGGAGGACAAAAAAAACCTTGTTTGGAGCTCACGCCTGCTGCGTTGGCCCCAGAGCCTCTCTTTTGGGTTCAAAAAGCTTCCTGTGCCTGTGCGCCGGTTGCACTGGAGGGTCCCTTGGGTAGCAGCGGGAATAAGAGCCCCCCGGGATGCGCTTTGTAGCTCCGCGTTAAGAGCGAAAGGGCTGAAAATAAATGCACAGCCCCATTCAAACGCGGGCAGCAGCGGCATTTCCAGGCCATTCCTCTGCCCCTTTCAGCCCCTTTGCTTCYCCTTTTAATGTATGTAGATGGAGAATGCAAATACCAGCGTGAGAAAAGCGACCTTTCGGCTGAATGTCACCCGGTGCGGCGGCACGGGGAGTGTTTGCTCTCTGTCGGCAGCTTGAGCCTCGCCGGGTATTTATACGCAGCGTCAAAAGGCTCAAAAAAAAATGGGTTTGGCCTTGGTGGGTCTGGTTGGATGGGGTGCCCATCCTGCCCTGCATCCCATGCTGGTATTTGCAGGTAGATACCCCTAATGTGCACCCGGGGCTGGAAGGGTCATCGTGGAGAACGGAGTCATTTGAGCTCTGTTTCTAGCAGGATGTTTGATCTCGGGAGCCTAAAATATATGGTATTGAGTCTCAAAGGGATCTTGTTTGCTCCAAGAGGTCCTAGTTAATGAAGTTAATAGGGAAAGCCTCCGTGAGCAGCCCCTGTTGGGCATGCTGAACCCAACCTGACTCTGGAGCAAAGGGAGTTTTTGCATGGAAATTAAAGGCGAACTCTGGCTTGAGTGACACTGCTGAGGACATTGGGTGTCCTGGTCCTCCCAAAAGCACCTCCTCAGCCTCTTCTGCTAAGGATGCTTTGGACGGCTGGGATGCAGTGCTCGTGCGCTTCTCTCCCACACGGATTTCTTGCTGCTCAAGGAAGTTTTCAAACCAAGTCACTTGCAAATATCCTTGCAGTGGGTGGTGCAAGCAGAGAAGCCGCAGGGACGGCGCCCGGACGGGAGCTCCGGCACCTCCAATCCTTTCCCACCTCCTTCCCTGCCYGCATTTGGCCCGGGGGAGCCGGGACAGACACGGCCGAGCTCCGGGAYTATCGCCAGGCTCCACGGGCGCTGTCGGAAAGGGCTGGAGCAGCAGCCGAGGCGCCTCTCCCCGCTCCACTCCCCCTTCTCCTCCCTCTCCCTCSGCCCCCGGCTCTGCTGTCCCGGAGGATGGATTAATCCCGGCGAGCGGCTCCGGGCTCCGTTGGTTGCCGAGGGGCTCGGCGGCCGCCGGCGCCTCCCGGCCGCCTCTTTCCCGGGGCGGCGCCGATGGCAGCGGCCTCATTCGCTGGCTCCCGGCACCCGCATCCCGCCGAGCTGCGCCTCTGGCTCCTGCCTCCGCTCCCGCTTTAGTTGCTCTCAGCTCCGGGCCCTGGCAAAATCCCGCTCAGTTTGGAGCTCTCGCCGTGCGCCGGCTGCAGCTCTGCGCAGGGCACGGAGGGTTTTCTTGCTCTTCCACTGTCTCGAGACAGAAAAGGTGCAGGATCCCGATCCGTATCAAGTGCCCAGGAGTGGCAGCAGGGACCCATGCGGGTCCTTGGATGCAGAAGCTCCTCTTTTCCTCTGTTTAATCTTATTCCCCAGGTAGCAGATGGAAACACGGGGTGGAAGCAGCGATGTTTGGACGGGCTGCAGCGGGATTTGGAGCCTCTGCTTGCAACCCGGCAGAGTTTGGCAGTTTGGACTCAAATCCCCACAAGCCTTGACGTTCCTCCCTCCTCCAGCCTGCCCGCGGTGCCCAGGCGGGCAGAGGGCAGCGCTGCCCACCTCACCCTTGTAAAGGCTCAGGGAGCCTCTTTCCAAGTGGGGTTTTTGGGAGAGGGCCAAGAGGGATGTGCAATACACCCGGGAGCCGGACCCAGCTCTGGCATCGAAAACCACCATCCTGCACCAGCTCCCGTGGCTGCAGCCAGCAGGGGGAACGATGCCCTGTGCTTGCAGCAGGATGATGCCACTCCAAGAAGCTCTGCCGGCAAATTCCGCCCCCTTTCAAGGCTGGAATTGGAGGACACTTTAATGCACTCGTCTCACATAGAGCACTTGATGCTTCCCCTGCATGTGGGTGAGTGATGGAGGGAGAAGAATAGATGGGAATGCGCGAGGGCAGTGGCGAGCGGTGCCCGGCCCCTCGAGTGGCCGCGCGCAGCCTTTCCGCAGCTGGACTCCTCTTTTGCAATCCCGGCATCTTGTTTCTGGGTAATTTATATTGACAGAGTCTTTCAAAACACTTTAGGCTTGTTTACAGCGTTGAGCAAGAACATTTTGTCTCCCYGTCCTCCAGGAAGCTCCGGCCGCGGCCCTTTCCCGGCRCCGCCGGAGCCGCCCCCTCACTCGACGCCCCGGCATGTCCGCAAACCGGCCCGGCCGGGACAGAACCTGCAGGTCGACTCGTTGCAGCTCCCTTGCTAATTGCTAATTAGCTTTTCCAATCGGGGAGCTGGGGGGAGAAGGGCCTTTCCAATGGGAGCGCGTTTGGGCGTGAGCRTCTTTGCACGCGGAGCGTGTTGGGAGTCACCACGACCGAAATGGGAYGGGAAATGGGGCTCTTGGGGCTCAGCTTTGGGATGGGATGCTCCGAGATGGGATGTGCCCCGTGCCAGCGCTCAGGATGCTCTTGTTGCTGCTCCCTTGCGATTAGCAGCCCGGCAGGAGGGTCGGGACAAGGGAGGTTCCTCCCTTGGAGGTTCCTCCAGGAGGTGGAGATGAAGCTTTGCCCTCCTGCCCCCATTCCTGTCTCCTTGCAGAACATACCCTGGTTTGGGGACGCCCATGAGGAGCCTCTGTAGCCAGCAGTAACTGCAGAGGACAGTRCTGGAAGCCCTGCTGTAAGCATCTGTGTCTCAGCCATCTCCTAACCCCTGGCAATTAGGCTGGCTTTAGTCCTGGAGCTTTCATACCTATCTCCCACAGCTTTATTTTTGGGGTGATTTGCTCTTGTACACATGCTTATTGCTCCTATGCCTTCAGCGGGCTGCAGCCTCAGCCCCATYCTTGGGTGAGGAGCACCACAGCCACCTTTGGGTGGAAAAATGTTCTTTCCTAGCATGGGAATTCACAGGGAAATGGGAGCGAGGTGCTGGGATGGTCCCCATTCTGCACCGGGGGGCTGGCACGGATGGGATGCAGGCGGGGACGTGGCTGTCCCTGCTCCAGCAGCAGCGTCCGGGCGGGAGGACGTTGCACAAGAGGAGCCATCCCGAGGGTCCTCGGGAGGAATTAGTGCTGGGGGAGCAAATTCCTTTGGCCGCTTGAGGCCGGGGCTGGAGGCTCTGGAATGCCGGGGAGATAACGGATGGGGGACACGAGGGCGGCCGCTTAAAGGGGCTGCGAATGCAAAGGGAAACCCTGCAGCGTGTGGCCRGGGGACACGCTGGGCCCCGCTCCCGGGAGAGGAGCCGGGAAGGGGGAAGCAGCCGGGGATCTTCCTCATGCACCAGCCCCAGGGCTGGGACACAGAACTCGTAGCTTTCAGCTGCTTTTGCAGCCCGCTTTTGGGCAGCGTGCAGGGCCGTGTCCAGAYGGCCGCGTCCCGCAGCGCCCACGCGCTCCTCTCCATCCTTCATAGTCCCAAACTAGAGCCAGCCTTGGACACGTCCTGCATCTTCCCTCCTTCCTCCACAGCTAGTTCCCTACCCAGTCCCTCCCAACGGGACACATTGTCACCATCCCCGACCATCACATGCGGGCAGAGCCGCTCCAGGCTCCCCAGGGCTCCCCCTGATTACAYGAGCCCAGGATCTGTCCCACTGCGGGCACAATTAGCCCCTCATTAGAGTCACCTGCAATCACTCAGCGCCGGGAGGGTGAAAMGCAAGCAGATGCCAAATCAGCACCTGGAACAAATTATTTTACAAGTGAGTTATAATTGGTGTGAGGCAGGGGGAGGTCCTGGGCTCTGCTGCAGCTTGGGCTGGTGTTGTCTGCTCCTGGGTCTGGCCATGTCCATCCTTGTGCCGTGTCCGTGTGATGACATCTCGGAGCATCTCCAAGCACCTCCGAGGGCAGCTTGTTTGGAGGGAGCCTCTCTGCAGAATTTTGCCCCGTCCTTCACTTATCCACCCATTCCTGGTGAGGATTGTTTGTTTGTTTGTTTTTGAAAAGCAACTAGGAGTGTTTTTCAGGTAACTTGCTCTGCTGTGAGAGCATTTGGGCATTGGCATGGGCCCCTGAGCTGTGAAACCACCCCAGGATAAGCCCTGGGTCTCTAACAGTGTTGCTCAAGCAGTGCTGGCAATGGAGCTRCTTTGCTTAAAGCCAGCCCAGATACGTCCATGTAGGTTGTGGGCACATTTCTGGCTAAAGTTTTTGATGTGTTTAAGATAGAAAGCATTTGGGAACGGGTTTTGAAATGTAGGCAAGTAACACCCACAAAAAAGCTCATAGTCTTTATCAGATCTGCTGCGTGCTGGAAACATACTGATGTTAACATTTCTGCTGTGTAAAATCTTGCTTTTCCAAAGACCAGTCACGGGATATTCATTTGAATCAGCCATGAGGTATGCATCTATATGTCCTACTCTGTAGCTCCTAACTTGATAGAGCTAATGCAGAATTTACCTAACTTTTCATGCACTCGGAAAAGTCTCCTGGAGCAGCATGGAAAACCAAAGTCACTTTTGCCTAACTTGGAAAGAAAACCCTCGCAGCCTGCCAACATCTGCTTTAATCTCCCTGCTTCTGGTAGTGCAGTGGTGAGTAGGGAGAGGGAGGAAGATTTTTGTGATGTGGGATCCCAGGTAAAGAAAACCTCAACCTTCAAAGAAGTTCACCCTGAGCTCTTGCTCAGTGTCAGTGAGACTGAGTCCTCTTCCCAAGGCAATACCCATGGCCGAGCGTGGGCAATTGCAGGCAATGGCATTAGTGCCTTGTCAGAAGCTTTAGCCTCCTTTCTTAGCCCAAGTAATGGGTGAAGGATGGGGATAACATGCAGTGCACTGGCCCCATCACTGGATATTGCTGGGCTTCACCYTGGGGCATGTTCCAGTGCTGTGTCACAGCCAGGTGCTTTCCATGCAGCATCCAAATCCTATTTGCCCTCCATCCATYCCCATTGCGGTGTCCTGCCTGGCTGTTCTCACTACTCATTTAAGTGCTGGTGGGTTTTCCTGGAGTCCACCAGCAAGGAGCTGGGTTTTCCAGGCTGGTCATGCTRGGATCAGCATGGAATGGTGGCTGGCACCACTGCTCCCAGCCCCGCGTGAGCCTTTGGGACCGAGCTCATTCCTTTGCTTCGTGCTGCAGAACACAGAGGGGTTTTCACTGCWTTCTCCATAACCTTATTTCCAAGATTTCCTCATTTCCAAGGGGAGAGAGAATTGCTTAAACACAATAGTTCTCAAGCTCATATCTGCTAGATGCCTGGTCTGAGTCATGAGGGGCTTCTGGTCTCCTGTGGGATGAAGACCACAGGGAAGTGCCACCAGCTTCATGGTGTCATGGGGCTACCATGCTTGTTTATGTGGCTTCATTGGAGCTTCACTGCTTGTGCAGRCTTGGAGTCCCTCACCTCCTGGATRGCTCCCTTGGATGGGAAGCATGATGTTTCCTGAAAGCTGCTGGACCAGAGTGGGTGTTAAGCAGGTTAAGAGGTTCCCATGTGGCCAGGTGAAGCAATGCTGTCTGCATCCTGCTTTCAGGAACGCTTTAAGGATCSAGGCAGGTACCCAAACCCCATCTCAGTGAGAGCTAAATGTTTAACTTGGAGACTCCTTTGAAGAGCCTGGTTTAACCCCATGCTTGACTTCAGATGTGTCCTTTGGCCTCGTGGAAGCCAAGAGGACTTACGGACATTGCTTAAAGTTTAACGGGAAGCTAAATTGAAATCCGGATGTGCAGCAGCAGTTCTTGGGCCAAAAGTAGCTTTTAATACCTTCCTGTGCAGCTCCAATCATTAATTTGTAGAGCTCTGAACTCTTGGTGAAGAACTCGGCATCAGTGACGACTTCTTGGAAGCGGCAGCGATCCGTGGCACCCGGAACAGCCCAGCAAGGTGGTGACAAAACCCATCTTCGTGTCCTAGCCCAGTGCTGTGCCTAGCTATAGGACCACGTTTCATCACTTCCAGAAGCTGTAGATACCTATGGCAGGATGGGCATCCTGTCATGCTGTCCCACCAGGCTTCTGCTGCAGGAAACCTCAATTCAACAGCAGTACCCGTCCAGGAAGGCCYGAGAAGCAAAAGAGGCAGGAAAAGGAGGTCTCTAAAATGAGAGCATTTCAGGGTGAYTCTCCTTCTGTACCGTGCTGAGGAGAGAAATGGGAGCCCGTTGTTGGTGTGGGGAGGAGGGCTGTGCCTGAAATAAGCGTCCMGCCTCATCTCKGCACAAATCTTTCCTTTTGGGCTCRCTTAAAAATGCATGAGCTTCCATTTTTATCCCTTCTATTGGGAAAGCTGCCAGAGAGCTGAGCCATTTCTGCCTGCATTGATCCAGCCCCTTTCCAGCGGTGCCAGGCAGGGAATAATCGCCATGCGCAAGTCGTGCATTGCTCAAGGGTGTCCCAGCACCAGCCCCAAGGCTGCCCTTTCCCTATGGAAAGGGAGGACCTCACTCCAGGCTCCCACCCAGGCGTCTGCAGAAGCCTCGGCAGCTCCATGAGCAAGAGCTTTAAATGGTGCAAATCAGATTTATCCCATTTAATGAGGACCAAGAGAGCCCGGAGGTGAAATTTGGAATAAAACCTTGGGTTTGCTATATTTTCTCCTACAGTTCTTTTTATTTTCCTAATATCTTAATTTGAAATAATTAAGATTAATTAAAAATAATTCATTTGCCTCTTAACACAAACCCTCCCTGCCTCTTGGAAGCCGCAGCTTCCCTGGCCTCTGCTTTGCAGATGGGACTCGGCGCTTGCTCTCGTGGCAGCAGCTGCACAGAAGTAGGTCTTGCAGATTCCCGAGCATCCTCTTGGCATCGCTGCATCCATGTCCCTCCGAGCCTGCATGCATGGTGAAGGCTTCGTTGCACTTTGGGTTTGTAGGTCTGAATAAGGGAGGGAAAGAACAACGAGTTTCCAGCAGTTTGGGGCTGCAAGCGGGTAATGGGCAAAACCCAGATAACCCCCTTGCCCCCAAGGTCACCCCCACGTGCGTTATCACTGCTGGGAAGGGCCTTGGAGAACGTGCTTTGTAGGTGTTGCTGCAAGCGTATGAAATGCCGAAATTTGGGTACTGCTTAACCAAAACGGRCGTTGAAAGGAGGAGGTGTGTTCTGGAAGTAGTTTCCCTCGGAGCTGTGCCAGGAGGCGGCACATGTTGGAGCCTGTTCCTGCAGGCTGCACCAAACCYGCCTGGGCTCTGTTTGCTCTCCTGCTTTCATTCACGCGTGCAGGTGGACACCGAAATGCAAAAYGTGAAATGCCTCCAAGCATCTGCTAGGCAGCGTGCGTGGCAAAGTCTCCACAAGGACTCATTGGAACAGCACAAGCAACGGTGCAAGACGTGCGTGTTGGTGGAAACTGCCACGTTGTGCTCAGCTTCTCAATCCCAACGGCGCGTGTGGAGCCCGGGAGGCTCCTGGAGCCCATCCGTGGCATCGGGCGGGAGCTGTTTCTCAATGAGCAGCCCTCTCTGCGATGCTCCGGTTGGGTGCCCGGGCTGTGGGCTTGTTCAGTGCTAGCGCAGCGCAGGGCTGGGAGTTTCCCCCGAGGATGTCCAAACGCATCCCAACAGCTTGCCACATTGGATCATCTCTGCCAGCATCCCGAGGCGCATAGAGCTCTTCTCCATCTCTCCCTTCTGGAGTCCTGATTCTGTGGACAGTTCAATTATATTTAAGATGGATAAAAAGCCCTTCTAGCATTGTTGGTTGGTCCAGCCCCTCTGAGGCTCCCTCTCCAGGGATCTCCATGTGGTGCTGGCAGCTCTGGGAAGATTAGGAATCCATCCATCCTAGCTAGGAGGCAGAGCCAGGGCTTCCCCCAAGCTCTCGAGATTCGTGCAGGGAGACCTGGAGGTGTTGAAGGGCCTGAAATGCCACACGCCTTGGGAAAACTCRTCACTCCTTTGGCTTCAGCCTTATCACAACATCTCGCTTTGACACAGCACGAAAGCCTTGGACCGCAGCAGCCCTGTCAATGTGAGCTTTTCCAGTCCCACATTAAGCAGAGGTTAGTGCTTTCCTGCAAAATGTTCCTGTGTTGCCCTGGAAAGGGGCAAAGATGTGCTTGGAAGACCTTCCTTCAACTCGTGAGGTTTTGCACGTTGGTTTCTTGCTCCTTTGTCTGTATCCTCATGGGAGAGGCTGTGTCTCCGCATTGGAATTAGAGGGACCGGAGTGAGCTGGGATGCTCCAATGATTCCTGCTGGCTCCAATGATTGCTCCAGGCCAGTGCAGCAATGGACTTCACCCTTTGCATGGTGCTGCTGCTGCAGCCGTGTTAGCTTGGGCTTGCACGAGGTGTGGGGAGCTTGGAGCTCACTGTGTGCAACACAAGGGGTGTCTTCAGTGGRTTTTGGCCGCCTCTGGGGGCAGAGACCCCAAACTGCAATTTTGCAGGGCTTGCAGAATTGCTCCAGCTGGGTAGCGCCAGAGCAAACTGCTCCGGTCCTGAAGGGTTTAAACGGAAAGCAAGAAGGTGACGTGGGTGCTGCAAGCGGCCCGTGGGTGCTGCAAACGGCCCGGGCACGTGTGCTGCCGTGCCGGGAGAAGCGTGTGTCTCTGATCTACGTGCAATGTGGGAAGTGCCACATCCGCCTGGTGCTTGGAGGATCTCAGCTCCCAAAAGCCTCAGTTTAACCCCTGCCCTCTCTTCCCTCCTGCCTCGGAGAAGGGAAGCGCTGGCTCCGGCGGGAGGGATGCAGACCAGTGTTTCCAGGGATTTCTCTTGCCCTGCGTGCGCCTGGGACCGCTCGAGAAAGGATGTCGAGGCAGGAAGGATATTGAGTTGGCTTTGGCTCCATCGTACAAATAGCTCCAATGACCTTTCTCTAGCAAAACTCCAGCTCCATGGATTTATTCTAAAGGGTTGTCAGCCCTGTGAGAGCATGGCCATCTCTCAAGGAGGAAATTYGGGGGCAGGTAGATGAGCAAATGTGCAGTGAGAGCCGAGTACGTGCCCGATGGAGGAACAGATGCGTGGACAGACATGCAGCCTTYGCAAGACGCGGTTTGAATAGTCCCGGTTTACAACCCCGTGGGCTCAGCCGCCTTTGCGAGGGGCCCTCGTGTATCTTCCCACCGCTCCTGAGTGTGGCAGTGTTTGCACAGTGTTAATCTCCCCGGCCTGATCCTGTGCTGCGCCTTCCTGCCACGCAGGGATCCCATCCGCGTGGGGAAACTGAGGCACRGAGCAGCGAAGCACGTGGAGGATGCGGGGAGCAGCGGGAGGAAGGGCAGCCCCGGGRGCCCAAATCCTGCATCATCTTCCTGCATCCTGGCCCCTCACCAGGCACCTGGGGTGGGATCGCTCCTATGGAGATGATGGCTCCTCTCAGGACCAGCGAATTCCCGGCTCCGGGGCTGGGTCTGTGCGAGTCTCRCAGGGCGAGGAGGCGGATACGAGGTGGAAACTGGGCACTTTCCAGGAAAAGCCAGGCTGAAACCGCACAAGCCGCTTCCTTGCTGCCGAGAGCCACCCAAGCCTAGCAGAAACAGCGGCTTTGYGCCTGCCCATCCTGCTGGGATTGGCTTCCCTGCCTCCGGAGCTGCCCCACATCCAGCCCGGTGCTGCTCCCAGGGCTCCCCAGCATTAGGAAGCCTGGGAAGGTCTGGGATAGTCGCTGCTCTGTTGCTCTTTCTGTTCCTACTGTGTCTCTTGTGGGTACTTCCGAGCACGGCTCAACTCATAGCTGGAACAGCATCCCAGCTCCTGGGACATCCTTACATTGCATTCCCTTCCCTAGGCCAGGCAGCAGTAGAAACCAGCCCTATACAATGAAATCATGATGTTATTCCAAGCTTGGCTCCTGGTAGGTAGCAAAGCTTGKCCAAAACGTTGCGAAAATGCCCAAACCTTGGGAATATTTCCTTGCTGCATCTCCTCAGCCTGGCCCTGCTTCCCCCGTGAGACCGTCTTTGCTCACAGGCCTGCAAACACCAATCATGCGCACTCTATAAACATCTAATGGAAGAGACACTTTTAATGTAATTATAATTTAAGCATAAAATATGTCAGTTCTGTAGGATTTTGTTGTCTGGTGCATAATTACTTTATGGCACTATAAAAATATATTACATTATGATGCCTCGCCGTGCTCTGCTCAAATAATTTATTGCACAGGAATAGTGTGGAACAATATTCGAGACTGTTGCATCCAATCTAGCATACAAATAAAAATGGTGGAAAATAATGATCTTGGTTAAATGCTCATTTAATTATTTTGCAGTCTTGGTGTGGGTTTTTTTAACCCCCGTTTGATCTCCCACAGCTCCACCAGATCAGATTGCAAATATTTAGATGGAGRCTTTAAAGTTCAAAGAAAACACAGCTGATTCTGTGTGCATCTTGTTGTATGTTGCCATTTCCAAAGAACTGGGGAGAAAAAGGGGTTTTGCTTTAGGTTAAACTAAAACTTTTCCAAGTTTTGCAAGCGATGGATTGGGACAGCAGAGCCYGGAGAGCAGCAGATCTTCCTGGAGGGATCCTCATGTGTGGAGCAAAGCGGATGAGGTTCAAATGGCTCCCTGGTTGCATTGCAATAACTTTTATTTATGTATTTTTCAGCAGGGCTGCCTAGCCTGAGCCCAAGACGGAAGATGACTTTATTCCATGGACTGATGCACTCCAGCTGCCAGATCCAGGGGATTTTACCCTTATTGCAAGAGTGAGAGGGGCAGGGATGGGATATTGCCTTCCATTGATACAAAGGTAAGAAGAGTCAGTCTGGAGAGGAGGAGGAGGAGGGTCAGGAGCCCTTTGCAGTGAGGCCGAGGAGCATCAGCTGCATGGAGGATGGTGAGGAAGGGCAGCATCATCATCCCTGCAGCAGCAGCCTCTGTCCCTGGGGAGCTGGCGGCCGATGGGGCTCCTGCCACCGCAGGGATGTGGAATTTGCGCTGGTCAGACGCGTGCGCGGAGGAAGGAAGAGCGGAGAGGTGCCCCTTCCTGCGCCGGCTGCGGTGAGTCATGTAAAYCACTTGGCTGCCAAACGCCTCCTGCAAAGGGAGGCTAAAAGCAGCGGCCTCGAGGGCTGCAGGGTGGYGGGAGCGAGGGTGGCACGGAGCCCCTGGCGTGCCAAGTGCTCCCGCACCCTGGATGCGGCTCCCGAAGCCCGGCTGGGTGAAAGTGGCTTGGTCAGTGCAAGCAAACGGGCAGCGCTGCCGTTTGCATCCTGCAAATCCAGGTGGGGAAGTGGCTCCCGGTGACAAACCTGCCTCCATGGGCTCTGCCCGCCCTGGTGAGCTTGTCCTGCAGATGCAGCGAGCTCCATCACGATCAGGACCCCCTGGMAATGCAAGGGGAGTGCTGCCTAATGCCCCTTGAGCCCATGGAGAGGCTCTTGGCCATGGCAAAGCCCACACTGGGCTCTTCTCTGAGGCTTTCCCGATGGGATTCCCGTGGGAACTCCCTTGGCAGGGAATAGGGCCCTGGGTGACATGGGGTCCTCCCACCAGGTCTCTCCTCCACCTCCTTCCCTCTTTTTCTCCTTGGTTCCTGCCGGGGCTGCAGCCTGGAGCTGGGACAAGGATCTAAAAATAGTGGAGGGGGCTGTGTATGCATCTTCAGCAAAGAGACTCATAAACGCAGCCAGGACTGAAAATCAATCCCTTAAAGCTGAAATCAATAACAATAACTAATATTAATAGTGATTATCCTTTCTTTATTGCACTTTGCAGTTGGGAATGAATTGTTTTTAAGGATTAGCGGCAGCTGAACTCTGTAATGCAATGTAAGGCTGAAGATTTACTATGAAAACACCGCTTATGAGCAAAGACCCATTACCGCTGATGGGAAAACGCTTTCCAAAGAGGCCCGGCCACCGCGGAGCGAGGGAAGGAGCGGGATGGGAAGTCAGCAGAGGGTTTAAATTTCTGGCAGGAGACAGGGATTTTGGTCTCTGGCCCTGTCTGGTTTTTGAGCAGTCTGATTTTTCAGGTCCCAGACATCCCGAATGCGTTTTCGTTTTTGGTATCTTTTATCTGAAACGGTTTCAGACATGCAAAACTTGGGGGAGGCGGGGGCGGGGGGGAAGAAAGGGAAGTGTGCTAAGCCGGGCGTATGTATAAATATCTGAGTCAGCCATACGTATGTGAGACAGCAGTGTCTAGAGCTATCTGCTGCGTGTGTCAAAGTTTCCAGAAAGCAGAGCTTACGAGGTGTGTGCTGAGCACTTTAGGAAAGTCTGGTCTCGAGCATCCCCGTGGGAGTCCCTGAGCCCTCGAGAACTGCTGCAAAGCGAGTGCTTTGAAAGCTTGGTTTCAGGCCCCAGCGAAACCGGCAGCTCGGGGGAGCCGCGGGGCACCTGGAAGGCCAGGCTTGGTTCTCACGTCTCGCTCGAGGGCTGGTCCTTGCCCTGCTTCTTGCTCATGTTTCCCACCCACAGACACCAGCAAATGCTTCAATGCTGTGATTTTTTYGGTCAGTATTCACCTTATTCACTGTGTCTGGGAAGATTCTCCCCCGGGGGCAGCAGGATGATGTGTTGTCCACCAAGGGACACCATTTGTGGGACACAGGCACCATCTATTCCATGGCTCTTCTCTTATACGGATTTCTTGGTGTCTTTCCTTTGCAAAGGCCATAAGTCCTTTTTAAATGCGAGGTGCAGCAAAGCAGCCACCTAAAGCAGGACATTGCATTTAGACTGACTTTGAACCAGAGAGCTCAGTTTTACCTAGGACAAGATAAGGTCTGCTGTGAGAAGGTGTCACCAAAGAGATCCATGGTTTGGGCTAGTGGGATGGCTAGTGTGAGGTCTGGCTTTAACTTGAGGTCTCAAGCAAAGGAGAGGAAGGACAATCCCTTATCCATGTTGGATTCCTCAAGTGTCTAGGAGTCACCAGGTCTTTTCTCCACTCTAGAAAAGGTCCTGAAGGGGAAGATCTTTGTGCATCTCATTGACACGTGTCTATATTTTCTGTGGGTGATATTTATGCTTATTGAAAATAGACCCTGAAAGCTCCCTGGAACCACCTCGCGATGGGCATGGAGATTTGTCAAAAGCAAAATTCAGTGGGAGGGAGTCGAGGATGACCTACAAACAGAGAAAGAAGCCACAGGAGAAGTGCTGCTTCTACTGGAGTCGATGGCAAAGCCCTCTTGGAGCTCACGGAAGCTGAGATCTTGTCACCTTGGTTGACATCTTGGGACCACTCGAGCACAGAGCTCCTGAACCTTCGATTCTTGGGCCATTTACTCACTTTTCAACACTAAGAAGTGTTTTTATTACTAGCTAACTTGTAAAGATTGGCAGAAGGAAAGCCCTTTGCCAACAGCAATGGATCAGTGGCCGCCTGTGTGCAAGGCCGGGTTGTATTGCGTTATTGATCTCTGTTAAAGGTGATTGGCATTTTTCACCTGGGAAGGTTCTTTTATTTTTTAATGGAAAAAACCCAGCCTCTTCTCCAGGGAGAAAATTGGGGTCTTGCTCCATGTTTTCTCTTCCATTTTAATTCATGGATGCCTTCTGAATGTAAAAAGGTTCTTAGGCTTGTCCTAACATCTTGTGTTTGCTGAAAACCTGGGTTTGAGTCAGAAAAGGCACTTTTCAGTGGGCACAATGGTAACCGCAGAACTAASCTGTCTTCATTTGCAAAATGAAGGTGCTTGGGTGTCACGAGAGCTTCCCCACAGCTGTTTCTCTTTCCTCACCTGCATTTCTTTTCCGCTGGGCTGCTCCTCAGAACCAGAAGCACTAGGAACCTCCCCAGCTGGATTAAGCAGCGCTGGAGCTTCCTCACATTGGTGCCAGTCTAGAAAGATTTACGAGCCTTTCCCCAAGACTGGCATGTGGTGTGCAGATGTCTCTAGGCTGGCTCAGCTTTGAACTTGCCCTAACAATTCCATTTTTTCAGTTGTGCATCATTGCTAATTTCCTCCAGCTCCTCTTCCAAGGGCAGGAGTCTGGAAAGCAGCTTCTCTTTCCCAGCTCTGAGAAAACAGAGCTCCCTGCCCTCAGAAAAGAGAGGAAGCAGCTGTATATATTGAGGATCTTGGAGAAGACCTACAAAGACAAGGATGAGCTGGGCCTTGATGGRGCGGCAGCAGCAATGCTAGGAAGCAAAGTGGGAATCCTGGTAGGATAGAAGCTGTGTTCCCATTTGGGAGACTGCCAGGAGGATGCATTGGAAAGCTAATTGGGATGTCAGTCCAGCAAGGAGCACTCGGCTGCATCACCCTTTCCTGGAGCACCATGGCCAACACTGGATCCCGGATGCAAAAACCTTTGCAAGGTGCAGACATTGCTCATGGTCTGGGGACTCTTGCAGATTGTTTTGCAGGGTCTTTTTTAACTCAGGACTTTTAAACATATCGATTTTCTTCCCTCCAACCCTGCTTGGTTGTTCATTCTCCTGCAGAGACCAGGAGTTTGGACCAAGAGCCAGCAGTGAGCCCCATTGCTACACATGCAATGCTACCCATGCACATGCAACCCAAATGCCTCCAAAGGAAGCAATTAGCAAATTTTGTTAAATGGAGCAGAGTCTTCTGCCTGCAATTCCCACTCCCTGCCTCATGACTCCGACTTTTCCCAGCCCTCAATCCGCACTAGCAAACAGCGCGGGAGAGGGATGGAAGAGGAAGGGAACGGGAGCAGGGGGAGGGAGACGAGAGAGAAACGAGATAACATGTGGATTGATCGGTCCAAAGGTTAAGAAGCTGAACTTATTTAGCTCCTGTTAGTTTATTTATTGTCCCCGAGTTATATTTGTGACTGAGAGCAGATTAGCGCCGGATTGCGGGGCAGATTTAGGAAGCCTCAGTGTTTCTCCAGCTCCACATGCGTGTGGCTGGGGGTGTGCACATGTGTGCATTATTTTCACTTTTCACTAAGCATTCCCTTTCCCYGCTCCCGTTGCGGATGGATGTAAGCACTCATCTATGCAATTAGGGACAGGGAAGAGGGGAAAAAAAGTGCCTCGCTCATCGGGTCAGAAGCTAAATTTATGCAGGGTGCAACACATGCTCTTTATTATACTGTGGAAGCAGCGGGTAATAATTCCTCTGTCCACAGAGACAGGGATGCTCTGCAGCAAAAAAAAAAAAAAAAAAAATATATATATATATATATAAAAAATCCAAACCTCCCACTTGTGGTAAACATATGTGTCATGCAAGACTGATAGAAGCTGGTAAGTGCTGGACGTGGTGAGTAATGTTTGTGGTGGCCCTGCCGAGCGCTCTCGGTAGCAGAGCGAAGGAGCAGCCTCGTGGGCAGGACTGGCGTCAGGCTGGGGACAACCTTGCCAAGATGCTTTGTCCTCCTCRGATTAGGGATCCAAGTGGGATTTTCCATGTGGTGGAGCTAGGGATGGGCTTTTCCAGCATGGGGACCTTGCTTGGTGGCTTTGCTGTGGATGCCTGGATTTGATGCCAGGGTTGGAGCCGATTCCAGGCTCCTGGAGGCACCGGCGCGGGCTGGAACAGTGCGGATGTCACCGAGCAGGAGCGAGGTGCATTAGTCAGCTGGCTTGGCGAACATCTCCTCTTACATCAGTTTCTTTTCTTTCCCTGTCTCTGTAGAAGAGCCACAAAAAACAATGAGTAATTTCTCTGCGGAATATGCATCTTTAGAGGAAAAAAAATAGCAAAAAAGGCAAAGCAAAACAGGCGCCGTGTTTTGGAGCTCCAAGGCTGCTGCCAGCACAGCAGCTCCCTGCCCTGMTCTTTTGAGGATGCTCGAGGGTCTGGACGGTGACACGGACGGGTCCCCGGTCCGGGAGGTGATGGGTTAAAGCCACGTGTGCAGTGTCACCTGGGGACGGGCGCAGGGCTTGGGAGTGATACCAGCAAAGCTGCTCTTTACTATGGATGCCTCTCCTTCRGTACTGGGCGAACAACAGCCCTTTTCTGGTCCCCTCTGTTGTCCCTTTAGAAAGAGGGATTAAGGATCCCTCCTTGTTTCCCCAGCCAGGGATTTATCCCCGGTTTGGGTTGTTTT